TTTACGTTTTTTCAAAATCAGAAGAATTAAAAAATTATATAATAGGGGCACTAAAAACACAGTAAAGAGAAGAAAACCTTGTTTTTGAAGGGCATTCACTTTTAACAACTACGATTTTTAAGGGGTGATTGAAAAAAACCCAGTAATCGCTGTAATCAAATTAAATGTCTTTATTTGTTGAGTAAGGTATAAAAGAAGCACTGAGGAAATTTATTTCATCAATAGAGTGCACACTATTACTAAAACGACAATACTGAAAAATTCATTGTATAAAAACAGTATTCCTCCAATAATCAAGAAAATCACAATTATATAGGGAAAATAGATAACCATCACAATTTCAAGAACCAACAAGATAAGAGTTACCACAGGAGTTAAGCATATTAAGGTGATAAGCAGCCAATTAGGAAGACATGTTTCATTGACATAATCTGCAGTATGAACTCTAACATAGAACAGGAAGAAATGTGCTGGGAATAAGAACATTAGAAACGGAATTCCAAGATAAGTAATCAAACTCAACCAAGGAAGGTCCATAGTCTTTGCCAACAACTGTTGGAAGGAGTTACTTGTTATTGGGCTACTAGTAGTTGAAGTTTCGTTGGATTCTTCTTCTTCATTGTCAAGATTTATTGGCATTGGTTCACAAGTTTCCTGCGCTATTGGTGTTTCTGACATTTTTTACTTCAAATAAACTGCAAGTTATTCTAATCTTCTTTTTTATTTCGTAATTAACGTGAGTATTCTTAAAAATCGAAACGTGATTTGTTGTAATTGAACAGTTTCAGAAGTACTTTGTTAGAAGAGACAATCTATTCATATATGCAATAACTTAAAATTCATTCTTCTTTTTCAATTTGTCAACCTTAATCTTGTCAATTTTCATTTCACGTTGGAAAGCAAGAGATTGTTTGAATCGATGATGTGTGTCCATCATGACCAGACATGTTTCCTTTTCTAAAATATTGAACATGGTATCTGGTAGAGTTTCAATTTGCTTATCATTGAACTTGTCAAGATAATCCTTGTGTGGTAAATAAAACCTTGCTTCGGGAAGTTTTCAATTGCTTTCAATTTGTTAATTAATCCTGAAGCTGCCTTAGCCAAAAGCTTCTTGCTTATTTTTTTTGAAGTCGGGTCCACTTCCGATCATTAAGGCAAATATCTTAATGGTCATCATCATCACACCATCAATAAAATTCACAAATGGTGAATTTTCCAACAAGGTAAATTTTCAAGGTCGTAAATCTTGCTGATTTTCCACCTTGAATTATTTCAATAATTAAATAAAATTATATTTTTATTATTAGCATTGTGTTTTCTTGTAGCAACATCTGTTTTATGTATTCTCCACTTGATTTCATCAAATAAAATAGTAAATTAGTACATGATGTCTTTTCCTAATATTTTCCGTCATTGGTTTGCTACTTCAGAACAAAAAATTACAAATTAAGGTGGACGCTTCACATACAGTCACTTTTGCCATTATGGTAATAAAACAACTCAAATAAGGATGAATCAATATTGTTTACTGGAATTTCCAGGAAACACTTTTCAGCAAAACTCTTTCCTGGAAAGAAGACCAGAGGAAAAATCTTTCCGGCTACAATCACAATGCACTCAGTTGTATTGTTTTGAATACTGTTCAACATGTACTACTTACATCTTGGTAAGCATTCTCTATCAATAATTAAAAACGTACAAATGTTCTTGTCAACGATTTTCAAACATCCCATTACAGGTTTTTTAGGAGAGAACAATAAATCATGTTGTACAAACTTCCTGTAAAGGTAAGCCTTCAACACCCTCAGTAAATAGGTTGGTTTGCCTGCAGAAATTGAAATTTATTGTATTTTTTTTAGCCATGTTAAATACATGAAAATATATATTAGGTTACCCAAACTTCTTCTCATAAAAGGAGAGCAATCAAGAAAGTTTCAAAAAAACTCCAAGAATTGTTCTTCTTTGTGTTTAAGTAGTAAAAGGTATTTTAACAGAATACCAACAGAACTTGATAGGAGTCTGATAATGTTTCTATTCATCTTGAACAATTTTTATGTTTTAGTAGTCATTAAGCAACTCCTATTGATCAATAATTTAGGTTTTTCTCCATTTATAACTATAAAGAATTAAGCTACTAATTAATAAGTGGGGTTTACATTTGAAATATATATATATATTGAGATAACAAACTAAAATATGTAAAATCATAAAAACTGGCAAAAAATGATCAAAATCTGATATATAGAATCCGTATAGATAACCTTCAGCTGTTAAATTCCTTAAATACAAAATGATAATCCTAAGTGATGGTAGTGATGTTGAAAGTGTTGATGACCAAGACTTTAGTAGTCACTATTGTTCGGATGGTGAATCTACTGACACTGATGCTGATATGTCAGACGAATAAACAACTTGTGTATTTTTTTTGAAGGATCGAAAAATCATTTAAAGTCGAGTTCGACTGGTGCCATCTCAATCAGTAGAATGGATAAATTAACACACCTAGATATTTCAGAAAATGAAATTCAGATTGAAGTGGAGTCAGTCATTCGTGATATGAAACACTTGTCTTATCTTTCAATTGAAAGTCAATGTTTATATGGTTGATTCATCTTGTTGTGTAGAATTGCCACCAATTTCTGTTATATTCAATTTCATTATTAGAGGCGCTACGAGAATAAATTTAGGTTTCTCTGAAACACATCACCTTAAATAATAATCCTTCGCTTACCAGTTTCTTCTTATCACTGCATCTTTGGCGAATTGCAACAAAATCACTTGTTTGGAGAATGAACTTCTTACAACAAGCAATACTAACGATATTTAATTCACAAATTACTGAAATGGAATTTGTCTAGGGATTAGTGACAAATGGTAGTTAACAAGGCAACAATAAGCTCTGTTCACATTTTTGTAATAATTTATTGTACACAAACGAAAACCTAAAACAACGTTTTACCAAATATATGTGACTTGCGATTGCTGACACTAACCAATCATCTTGAAACATTGTATAAATTGTTAACAGTATTATTGTTGATGAACCGTAGCAATTTCACGAAGATTTTGATATTAACATTGACTAGATTATCTTGAGAATTATCCAGAGAGGGTAGAATTAAAGAGCTGGAATTTTCCTAGATCTCAACTTTTCAATTAATGATAATATTGCAGGGAATATTACCAATACGTTAAACAATAAAATACCTTGTCCTAAAATAATAATATCGAAAAAGTACTTTTTCACAATCTTGATATCATGAAATGCAAGAGGCAGAATGCTGACCACAGTTGACAAGGAACAAATCAATAAAGGAATAGTCAAGAGTGTATATGCCTTCTTTACACTCTTTGTTAGAATAAATGCCTTTGTAATCTGGAATAGATATTCTGAAAATAATCCAATTTGAAGTGTGAAATTCATAATTGATAATCCATTAATAGGAATTCTTAATAATCTCAATCCAGCAACTAGTTCAATTAAAGTTATCAAAGTTAAAAAACAAGTAATGATGGAGCAAATTAAAATATTAATGAAAAGAGAAAGCTTTCCATTTTTCAGAATTGGAATCTCAAAAATTGATGTTACAAAAACAGAGACAATGGCAACTGACAGAATGGCAAGTGTACAAATAATACCAACATTGAATGGATCACTGGCAAATGATTCGAATATTAAATCCATGTCATTCACAATGAATGAGTTCTTGGTTGGTTTCAGTCCTGTCTCTGGATAATCAATGGACAATTTTTTCATAAATTCCAAATTTTGCTTTTCAATGACAGCTGTCACTTCTGAATTCAAAAAATTCTTATTCGAAAAAACAATTCTGGCAGCTGTCATATTATTCGAAACTTGCTTTGAAATAACAAAGCTTGCCAAATTACTAAAATATGTGTGATGAGTGAATTCATCC